GCTTGTGTTTTCTTAGTTTAGCCTCTTGTGGCTGATCGTTTTATATTGTTCTGTTTAATAGGTATTGTGCAGAATTTCAACAAAGCATCTGTTGCCAGTGATAACACATATGTGCATACTCTGGGGAAAATGTTTTATGTCATCTTTAAGCCCATTTGTATAGGTAAATGTTGAGCTTCCAGCAGTGGGAGGTCTCCACAGTATTTGATTTAAAGGGCGGTTTTCCCATACCTAATAAAGATCTGCTGTGACCAGGTATATTAAGTAGTCTTTCAGGCCATATATTGTAACACAGTTTGGTCACTTCTAACTGCCTTTTAAAACTATGTCATGGCTATGCTTGCATAAGGAATGCTGTGCACATGACTGAGGAAGAAACTGAGTAAATTATTTCTTTGTGCTTTTCATGAGGTCTTTAGGTGATGAGAGTAAAACTGCTAGTGAACAAAGCTAGAAAGACAGATGGCTAGTAGAAGTGGATGAAATTATCTCCAGCAGGAACTTCACTTGACTCTGATGATGGCACTGTCCTGGAGGAGTGGTTTTGAATGCACTGAGAAGGGAATTAGAACAACTGGGGCAGCAACTATGCCTGTAAGGATGTGTGGAGATGTGTGTCTCCTTTACAGTTTTAATCCTCCGTTCAACAGTTCTTAAAATTTTGCCACTTTTCTGCAGATGATTCAGACGTCTAACTTTAGGCATGCATGTCTGAAGTGTTTACCCGCACATTGTGTACATGTTGTCTTCCATATACTTTTATCAGTATTGCTCAGAATCAGGAGATACAGGATAAATGGCAATACAAAGACAATGGCTTTGGCTAGTTCCTGTTCCACAAGCCTTGTCAATGTGCAGCCCCTTTCTTTTTGTTTAAGTACACTCAGTCTTTTCAGCAAAAAGACTAGGGGGAAAAATAAAAAAGGAGTACAGAATGATATAGTTCCAGTTCCCCTACTTACAGATTTATGCTAGTCCTTAATAGAAAGAAGTGTGGATGTAGATTATATCAGTAGTTTTACTGTGCTTCTAAATATTTCACAGCTGTTAAATATAACAGTCCTGTGAAGCAGCATTTTTATTTTTTATTTTAATGCTGGAAGTCAGTAGTGAAGATGTTAGTAGATTGTTTAAGGCCCAAAGCAGCTTGCTCAAGGTGACAGATAGATTGTGTCAACTAGGACTAGAAACTATCTTTTGGGCTTTTGAGGGAAGCTTACTTGAGTTGGGTGCATTCTGCTTTTGGAGGTTATGCTACAAACTTGAAGAGTTTGAGGGGGGTCATTAAAAGTAGGCATTAGTTTCTATGCCAACAGGCTGAGACAAGCTACTTAGAGTGGAGTAAGGATTTAGAATTGAGGAACTATCTAGAATAAGGGCTTGCAAGAGGCTGATCTACTGTCCTGTGCAGTCCAGCACACAGCAAGAAATTGCTGAGGCCACTGATGGTACTCAGCCCTGCACTCAATGCTAACATCAGACCCTCTGTATTCCTCATACCCCACCCCCACCCCCCCAAAAAAAAAAAAAGGCAAAGTTTGTGGTGTCTTCATCTGGACCATATCATGGCTATGAGACTAGCTTCAGTCTGGAGCAGGCGGACTGGGAAAGACCCTGAAATCTGATGCCCAGTCTGCATGTGCTTTTGGCAATCAATTTGTGGCATCACTCCTGTTTCTGATGGGTAAATTCCAGCTCAGAAAAGCCATCACAATTAGTTTTCTTAGTGGAAAGCATAAGGACTGATCTGGCCTGGAATACGAATTACTCTCTTCCCTGGACCCTCCAGGGCAATTTGAGGTGAAACTTTTTCCTCTTCTTCTCTTTTACTTGGTAGAGGCAGGTGAGAGGCACAAAGAAAGTGGCCGTTTTCTACCTGTTCCAAAGCTGTCAGAAAAGATCCTTATCTTAAGTTTCACTTTAGGGAAGCAAATACATTTTTAATGGGAGTTTATAAAAGCTGTGTATTATCTGTATTTTCTGTGTCTTTTGTTGTGCAGCATCTTCTTTATGTCTCTTCTTTGGCTCTAGTCAGAGCTAGGCTCCTGAACCTACAGTAAGTCCTCTGGGTTGTAGACAAAGATCCTCAGGTTTGCCATTTCAAAGCTTCATACTGAGTTTCCTAGGGCAGTGGCTACATGTGTCTTTTCCTGAGCAGAATATCTTAAGCACTCATCACAATAAATAATTATTTAAAACAGAATTGTTACTATATTTCTGCCTTTAGGTATCAACAGCATGATGATAGTAACTGCCATTTTGGCTGTCAGTCTTTCTTTCTTCTGCGAACCCTGTCCTTAGGGGCTTATAAGTTGTCCATAAAAATTTGCTTTTGGCTTAAAATTTGCATGTGGCATTTCTGTATGGAAATGAATTTGTGTCAAACTAGGTTTAAAATGGAATCAGGAATATTTAAGTTACATTTGTGTAGAGAGAAAAAGGCAGCTTCTCCTATCCCGGCACCACTGACCTTACCTTGAGCACTGGGATGTCATTTCTCCATATAACAGGATTTTTTCCTGCAAAGGAGGAAGAGACAGATTTTTAGCAGTGGTTTCATGTTGTTAATATTAAGAATTAGTGCAGGAGTCCCTTGTGTAGTGTGCTGATGTGATGAGAATTTGATCCTCAGTGGAGAATGGCACTCATTTCTTTATTTAAAAAAAAAAAAAGTAAATTAAATTTACTTATACGGTAGCATGGTAGATTTCAAACAGGAAAAGGAACAAAAATTAAATCATTTGTGTTTTGTGATTTTTTTTATTTTTTTTTTTCCTAACCCTCTGGATAAGCATGTGGTATGAGTATTTCCAGTGCCCTAGCGGTCTAGCTGGCTTTCACTTCCAACAAAATTCAAGAGCATCTCTTGGAAGTGGATTCTGATTCTGAACACTATTGGTTTTAGGATATACAGAAGAAACGCGCAAAGCACGTGCTCTGTCTCCCTTGTAGGAATGTTGATAGTACTACAGAGGAAACAACTGTATTAAACCTGTTGTTCCACATGTGTAGGACATCTCCATGATGGCAGTTTACAGAATTACCATCTTGTCTTTTAGATAATTAAAATGACATAGATTTTCATCCAGGTTGCTGAAACTAATTGCTAATGTCAGTGTGGTACCCTAGTCCCAGTACTCCTTAGATACTGAATTACTTCTGCCACACCACAGTAGTGTTTTAACAGTGACTTTTACTTATTCTAAAGCATAAAACCATTAATGTTTAATACCACTTCATGTAAGGAATATAGAGATGTTATAGTTAGTTATTTTGTTCTTTTATAATAATGACTGTCGGGGTTTCAGGGTGGGAGGGGCTGAGGGGGGGATGTTAATTGAAAAAACAGAAAGCAGAAATCTAGATAAACAATTATAAATAATTGTTTGCAGTGGGGTGACCTTTCATTGTGTGGTAGTCCAGTTTTCCTACTGGTCTGGTACTGTAAGTGTAGAGTAGTGCAAAAAAGTATTGCAGTCTGTACTAACTTTATCTTAGGCAAAGCTGACAAGTCTGCAAGAGCCACCATGGTATGTTGCATTAACATGCTCTAAAGCTATGAGTTTGATGTGGATATTGAACATCCATAATAAGATGATAGACTATAATGGCGTGGGAGGAAAAAATTAGTCATTTATATGATATAGCAGCAATAGATATAAAGAGTCTACAAGGTGTCACTGAGAACTCGGAGATGGCTTGGCTAGTAGTCATCAACCTTTTCTATAGTTCAGCTTTCCTATTAAAACAGGAAAATGTTTTGAATACCCAATCTGTCTTGTAACAAAGGAAGGACGAGTGCCAGGTAGTTTAAGAAACTGTGTTATCAACATAAAATTTATTCTTAGAAAATCCAGCCTCAGCAGGTAGAATCAGCCACTTCTTAACTCCTTTATTTTATCTTGTTCCCTATAAATGCAGTCTACATTATTTCCCTTCTCCATCAGAAGGCATGCTCAGGAACATGATGCCTGAGATGATTAATGGTCCCACTCATTTCCAGCCTCAAGTTGCTCATGACTGATTGATTCCCATTCTGTTACATTCACTGTCCTTCACCTTAAATAACTTTTGTATCTCAAGATAGATTTGTTCATAGATAGCAACAATATCACTTCTTGGTCTTCATCTTACTGGACCGAGTGACCCAACCTCTCATATATTCACTCACTGAATTTGATCTTCATTGACCTTTTCACCCAAGTTGCCTTTTCTGATATTGTTTCTGGTTTTGTTTTCATTACCTTTATCTAGTCAAGCAGATATCAGTGAGAGAGAATTCAGGGTCTTATTTCCACTGGTGTTGCTCACCATACTACATCTGCACTCCTTCCCTGGTCAACCAGAGGCTCTGCTCCTAGAGGCCAGGGCCAAGAGCTGTGGGACCACTGCCAGGAGAAGTAGGACAGGCCAGGGAAGGCCTGGGAACATTTCAGTAATTGTTAAAGTTTGTGAAAGGGGAATGGGTATGTTGGAGGAACGGAGAGGAGAACTGATGCAATTAAGCTGAGTATTTAATGAGTTTACTGTTCTCTCTGGTCTCAGTTCCCTAAATGAGTTTTGACACAGTTGACTGACAGCTGGTGAACTAATGGCCAAAGGTTTGTGCAGTGTCTTAAAGGAGCATCACAGTGTCCACTAACATCCCTGTCAATGCTTTTAAAAAGCATTAAGAGACTCTCTTGTAACAATAATGTCTGCTTTTGTGTGTGTATGCTGTAGGTGGTGATCCCGTCAACAGCAGTTCTCTGCCCAAATAGTGTGGGCATCTCCTCAAAGCAGATTGGTGATCATTCAGGTAGAAACTTGGGGACTTTTCTGAGATCATCTGGTAAGAGAAGGATGTAAACTCGTGTCATCCTGAATGTCTAGAGACAAAAGGAGAATCTTCATAGGGACCATATGTACATAAGTCAGACAACTAAGTGATGTTCAAAAACTACTGAGCCTGACTCACCTTTGCCTTGCTCCATTTCCTGCCAGGTTGTTTGAATTAAGATTGCAACAGCATATCAGCATATCGGAAACTCAGCTGTTAGAACAAGAACACCACCATTAAACTCTGCCACTTTAGGATTTGTTAATGTGTCCTTCAGCTACTCCCCATCAGGTGAATTCTCTTTGTTCTGTGGTTATTTCAGGGCAGTGTTAACAGATTAAAAAGGAAACTTCTCTGGTTTCCTCCATGTTTTCAGCTTGGCCTTAATTATATTAGTATGACTGGTGTGAAGGAACACCCCTAAACTGAAATTGTGTGAATATGCAGAATGCATGTCTCATTTCTTGCCCACATAGGTTGTGAGCAGCACCCATTGATTTTGCTGGCTATTATTCGTAGTTTGCAATGTGGGGTGAGTAATCAAACCCTTAAATTGCTATACTGCCTTTAAGCAAGTCAGCTGGAGTGAATCCCTGTTCATCTGCTTGGGAGTGTTTGGTTTCTGCAAGCTTTTCTATGGCAGCACTAACTCTGTTAATCTACAGAAAATAGAAAACACTGGCTTTGTTTAACTTGTTTCATCAGTAAATCCACGGGAGTTTTCAAAGCTGACTTCCACTGTTCTTAGTTGTTTCCTCTTGCTCTATTTCACTGTCTTAAACCTCCAGGTTGCTGGTCAATTAATGTGACAGGAACCCCTTAGGTTATGTTTGTTCATGGTAGGCATGTCTTCTTTCATTAGTCCAGCCTTAACAACCGCAGAGTTTTAATGTCTTAGCCACTGTATAACAGCCTGTTCGCAATGAAATGCTAAAGTGATAAAAGCATGTACACTGGGGGCAGGGGGAGAGGCTCACATAAGAGCTGAGAGGGAAAATATTAATGTAAAATAAGTCAGGCTTTCTTCTGTTCTGCTGATTTTTATTTCAATCCCTATTCATTCCTCAATCTCAGTTATTTCCCCATCTCCAGTAACTGTATAGAGCTGCGTCCTGACCCTTTGTAATTCATGTTGGAAGTTCTGGCTAAAGGTTGTGCTGTCACTCTAAGGAATTTGAAGACTACACGCACATTTAAATGTTTTGGAAACAAAGTCATTAGGCTTGAATTTAAAAATCTGACTCTCAGCAGTGATATATGAAAATTATTTTTCTTTACCTGTTTATCATTGTTCATTAAGATTTCCCTGTAACTATATTTTTTTCTTTGTTTTTGTTTTTTGCTATATTTACCAAGCTTTCTTTGAATCTTGTCAGACCGTTTAACTTCCTAAATCAATAGGTTTGCCTATTAAAAATGTTTACAGTACTGCTTTGTCATCATTAAATATTTCTGTGAGTTAATTAGTAAGAGATGGCATTTTACTCATTCCATCTCTTAGGAACCTGCTTCAAAGAATTCTCCAACTAAGCCAATGCCTGACAGTTCTAATCCCAAGTGTCTAATATTTTTCAGTGCTATTCAATTTTAGCAATCTGATATGGCCATTAAATATTGAAGGCCAAAATTAATGATACATTGATATAATTGTGCATAATTGTACTATCTGTCTCTGCAGAACTTTTTACAAGAGATGCATAAACAGGATTATTTTAAAATTATGGTAGAAGTCAAAGTATTTTTTAAAATCTACTTATATGAAATTTAAATATATCATTACACATCAAATGTGGGTAAGCAAAATTGTAGTCAACTGCCTTATACTACTCTAGATTCCCCAGTTAAATGCACAGACATGGTTTATTTGTGATAAAAATAAGCATTCTTTAAATTAATTAGAAATACTATTTAGTAGTTTTGTTTCTTTTGCATCAACACATTTTCAGAATAACACAAGCATGCAAACCCCAGAAAATAAATGAATTAGAATGCAACAGGGCACCTAATCTTTCTCTGATAGAAATTAATGGGAGTTCTGCTTTGAATCTGAAGTGGAGTTGAATTTATTGGAAATAGGATTAAGCCAAAATATATATAGTCTTCTTGCAAATTTCTTTTTAGGAAATTTGATTATAAACAGGATAAAATGACAGAAAATTGTTTCATGACTCTACAAGATTTCTATTCATGCACAGAATGATGGTTATTAAAGCTAGAGAACATATGCATTGCTCTGTACTTGCTCCTTACAGTATAAAATTGGAAGCCTTGCCTAATCCATCTTTAAATCATTTAAACACCAAAACTTCTGCCATTTCTCCTGGCCGGCAGTACACTGTCCCACAGGATGTTTGCTATGAAATTAAGACTAGATTTTGCTGTGGATTTTTTTCTAAATGAAATGTCGAAGATAAATTATTAAAGCCTAAGTATTATAGTGAAGGTTGGTTTTGCACAGGCTCTAGAAATCTGAAGATTTCAGATACAATCTTTTTGAGTTCACAGTACAGGATGACTTTAAGTGCCTATATCACATCAAAATTTCACTTAAAAGCCGAAGTCCACAAAAGCAGTTGTTGGGTCCTATTCAATTAGTAGATGCCTAATCCACAGGGTTCCTAAATTTTGTAGATATGAAAGGTTTCAGTGTTATGATCCCCTGCACGCTTGATGAAAGGTGATTTGGGCATAAATTCATACTTCTGCAGAAGGAAGACTCTCCCATCTCCTTCCTTTTGGCTTAAATTTCAACTCCTGTGGTGGTACTGATATTTCTGAAAAACAGCTCTTAGAAAAATGGGGGGGAGGAGAGGGGTTTAGTTTTACATATTGGTTAGTTCCTCAATTTTTTTTCCACTCAGTGTTGCACAAATATTTGCATGGACCTCCAGGAGAGGATGACGCCAAGCTGAAATAAGTGTTAGTAGGTAGAAAACCAGAAGGATGTATACCTTTAGCATGCATGCTGGATGATAGCTCAGCAAACAGTGGAAGCTAAGTTATGTCTGTGATGCTTCTTCAGTGGTTCTCGGCACTCTGGTTCTTGACTGTCTCCTACACTGGTACCCCTCAACTAGGTTTTTCTTTGCTTTTGTCAGTCAAGGGGCTAGACTTGGATGGTGTTTCAGAGTACAAATTGAGCTCTCTTGAAAGACTATATAGTTCTTCCAGAGAACAGTTCAATAGTAAGAGCCTTCATCCAACGTACAATAAATTAATTTCTTCAGCCTGAGTGAGTTCAGGCCTTCATCTTCCATCTCTAAGAAGACTGCCAAGAGCAGGGGACCAGGGGACTTTTGAACTTTTGGAGGAGATTAAGTTTTCCCACTCACCACCAATATTGGACTATACTCTTGTTGCTTTTTTTTTTTTTTTTTTATTTCATTTCCCAGGTAGCACCCATATTAACTTGCATTCCCTTTCCTCCTTTCCAGGTAGCCTCTCTTGGAGTCACCACCTTCACACTGTGCGCTCTCTGCATCGACCGATTTCGTGCCGCCACCAATGTGCAGATGTATTATGAGATGATTGAAAACTGCACCTCGACGACAGCCAAGCTGGCTGTCATCTGGGTGGGCGCGCTGCTGCTGGCCCTGCCGGAGGTTGTGCTGCGCCAGCTGGCAAAGGAGGACCCCGAATACAGTGGCAGCCCCCCGGGGGAGCGGTGTGTGGTGAAGATATCCACTGCGCTACCTGACACCATCTACGTGTTAGCTCTCACTTACGATGGGGCAAGACTCTGGTGGTACTTTGGCTGCTATTTTTGTTTGCCTACCCTTTTCACTATTACCTGCTCCCTGGTAACAGCGAGGAAAATCAGGAGGGCAGAAAAGGCTTGCACAAGGGGGAACAAGCGACAAATTCAGCTGGAAAGTCAGATGAACTGCACAGTGGTGGCTTTGACCATTTTGTATGGCTTTTGCATCATTCCTGAAAACATTTGCAACATTGTGACTGCCTACATGTCCACAGGGGTCTCTCGGCAGACTATGGACCTCCTTCATCTCATCAGTCAGTTTCTTTTGTTCTTTAAATCCTGTGTTACCCCAGTTCTTCTTTTCTGTCTCTGTAAACCTTTCAGCCGGGCCTTTATGGAATGTTGCTGTTGCTGCTGTGAAGAATGCATCCAAAAGTCTTCAACAGTGACAAGTGATGACAATGACAATGAGTACACCACAGAACTGGAGCTTTCCCCTTTCAGTACCATCCGTCGTGAAATGTCCACATTTGCCTCTGTGGGGACTCACTGTTAATTGACCTTAGGACTTTATTTCCTGTACCTTTTTTTTTTTTTTACTTCATATTTTTCTTCTTGAAGCAAAATGTAAGAAAAAAATATTGAAAACTACTGTGGAAACCAGTCTGCATATTAACAGTTATGCTTTGGAAAATTAATCTGTTTGGCTATTAAAATGAAAGAAAGAGAAGGAGAGCCAGCATTGTTTTAAATCATGATATTTTGTATGGTGCTAGGATTTCATTGTTTGGGGAGGAGAATCCGTATCAGTCCGCTTTTATTTATCTCCATAATATTTTCGTGATAATCACTGTAAAATGATTATGTAGACATTGTGGGTTTAGGAAGTTGTTTCATGTAAAAGATGTGGTGGAAAGTACTTAAGGGTTGTTTTAATCCAGTTACTGTACAATATTGTGAGAGAACTTGGACTTCAGAAAATTTATAAAGTAGCATAAAAATAAATGAGGTTTTATTCTTTAACTTCATTGTCAATCTGCATTTAACAAGGACACCTAAAAGTAGTATTAAATTCCTTTAATAAGTAAAAAAAAAATCTTGGCTTTGCATAAAATAATTTAAATGGCCATATTTAATTTACCATTTGTGTACTTACCCTTTGAGGCTATAATTACAGTGTTTAAGGAAGATGGTTATAATGGTATTAGATTTACATGAGGTTTGGTTTTTTTTTTTTTTAATGTAAAATACAAAGGTTCAATGTGCCTCATTGAAAACTTCCTTCTTAACTTCTGTACTTCTTACGAAGAAAGATTTGCTTTCTCACTAAATTTTGTCTTGCGTGCTTTCAAAATCAAGTTTCTTTCCAATCTGTTATTGGTTTTACGTTGAGATTATGTCCTCAGTCTCTGTATATATAGCTCCTACTGGCTTCAGTGAGAGTCCCATTGCAGAGGAAGGTATTCTTTTGCCAGAGATTTGCTGACAATAAATGTGAGGGACTGAAACATGTGGAGAGTGAATTCCTTCTTTATAAAAAAGGTATAAACACACTTGTCTGCTTGAGGCTAGACCCAGAACCCATTGCAGTCAGTGGAAGGGTTTCCATCGATTTCAGGGGGCTCTGGATCAGACTGGCATCTCCGATTTATTCTGGGATATGTAACATGAATATTAATTATGGGGACTCTGTATTCCGATTATAAATTGTGCTGCTCTCACAGAGACTGCTATTCACTCTGAAGCCATTTTTGAGAACCATGGTGTGTTTTGCTGATGGCTTCTTGCTGTCTGCAGAGTTATTAAAATGAGGGTATGTCAACTCTGCCAACAACAGTGCGATATAGTAAAATCCAAAGTTGAAGCAAGCCAGGTTTGAGACTGGAAAGTGCCTATCTGTACCAGCAGAGCTTATTTGCCCCACTTCTTAGTTGAAGTAGACAGGCTGTCCTTTGCAGGCAAACTGCCTCATATTTACACTGGGCACCAGGCTGAAGTGTAGACATGTACTAAGGAACTGATTTTGTTATAAATAGCTTATATTTTAATACTAATTAAATTAATGCAATTACAATAATATGTACAGAAGTAAAATCACATGCAGTTCTTTTAAATTAAGTGGTAGTAACTGATGTAGTCTTACTTCCCAATACCTGCCTCTAAATATGTTAAAGAACTTGCTGTAACTTCTGGAAAGGAGTCTATTTTTTATTTTTAGATTCTGGACAATATATTTTATCATTGTATCTGCTTGGGCAAACAGTATTTCTTCTTTTTCTTCACCATTTTAACCTATAACAATTTCAACTGAAAAGCAGTTGAAATTAATTTACCTGAATATGAAGCCAAATATTTATGCCTTGCGTTCTTTTTCTGACTTCTGAATCAGACGCTGGACTCTAGCAAAGCAATCTGCTTTAAGCACATTTAAATATTTGTTTCTGTTTAGGACTTAAATTAATGAAGTTTTTGAAATACTTTTGTAACATGGTCAATCACTTCTGAACACAGGGGAACTGTCCCTTCTTTATAAACCCTTCATTGACTTCACGTTGCTTGATTACATTCAATAAACTATGAAAGGGATTAAAGTGAAAAGGTAAAACCAAAATCTCCTCACTGTACTGACTGTGTCTCCTCAAATACATATTCCCATCACTGCATTTTGATTTGTACTTTTTATGTGCCAATATGTATAAAGAATGGGAATGAAACTCCCTTTTTGTTCCTTGCTGAACTGTTTCTCTCAGCTGCCTTTTCAGTCACTGCATGAACAGTGACTCAAGGACCTGTGGAAAGAACAGCGGAGTGGGAGGAAACATTTATCTTTTTTTTCCCCAAAAAGGAAATAGAGAAATTACTTGGGAATATTAAATGATCACAATTTTCTAATTCAGGTGCAAGACTGCACCAGGGCAGGAAAAGTCCCCATTGACTTGGATGTTGGGTGCTTCCAGCTTTCCAGTCTGCAGTGGGTATGTGTAAACTCTGCTAAGGACTGCTGCTTGCTCCCAGGTTAAATGCTCTGTATTCCAGAGTGGTGCAGTTTGCTTCTCCATTGGAATATTTCCACAATATGTGTATAGTAATCGTACTGGGGGGAAAAAAAAAACAGAAAAAAAAAAGAGATTTAACAAGTCATTGGAGAAAGTAGAATTTGAAGATCAGTAATGCTGTGTTTGGAAATGCATCCTCCTGCTTGTGTGGTGGAGCTTTCTCCAGCCTTGTGGGGCTTCTTTGTACATAGTATAATCTTGCCTTTTCTGCTGCTGAAAGAGCATTTTTCACAGCTATTTCTTCCCCCTGCCTTGGACCTCCATAGCAATTGGACATGCAAGACACCCTTTTATTCTGTTTTCTAAATTGGTTAAACTAATCCCACATTAGCAGGTTTGCATTGTTGCAGCCATTCTGATGCAGGCATGGCTTGTTAATGCATTTAAGTGTCATGATAAATTATTCCTTTTGTTAAAGATGGGGTACAGCATTGCTTTTGAATATTCTTAGAAGTCATTTCTGTCTGTTTTAAATCCAATTCTGTAAGACATTTTTCTGTTATCAAGAGCACATTTAATAGACTGGTGAATGAATATTTGGAAATGTTTATGTCAGGGATTTAATTTTTTTCACATGAAATAGAAAAACATGAAGAGCATGGTGATCAACATAAAGGAAGAGTCATGGACTGGAAAATCAGATTGTGAGGTAGGAAAGCCTTATACCTTTCAGGTATGTAAACTTTTAACACATTAACACTGATCACCCCAGCTCTGGTCCCATTAAGAAATGAAAACCCATAAAACTCTAGTATAAGTTCTATTACCTCCAAGGAGATCATGTTACATGACCCATATCAAAAATATGATCTCTGTGTAGGCCAAAGTACAAATAATATATTATTGAAAAATATTGCTCAGTTAGAAGAAATCTTATTTTACTCCTTCCAAGATAAATTCCCAAATCCAACCTTAAATACCTTCTGCCCTTAAATGACCTCAGTGACTTGCTCAGCCCCTGTTCTGTCATCTGGACCCAGATGTAAGCTTCCACAGCTGCTGCTCTAGCAGCTCTGGGAATGGCTACTAAAGACAATGTAGAGGTTTCTATGTATGTTGTCCTACATCTTTTCATAAGAAAAATGTTAGGCTGCATGGTAAAACTGTCATATTGTGCTCACGTCACTCAGAAGCAAACTAGATTCTATGAAATGTGGGTTTCTATTGAAACTGAGTAGCTTCTCCAAATTCATTAAAGAACAAGTCTTCAAAATCTCTCCTAGGATCTGTGAGCCACAGTACAAATACATCCAATTTGCCCTATGGGCACCTAACTGCTATTGATGTTCTCATATACATTACTGAGCTGCTTCTGGGCTTTTTTTGCCAGGTGACATTAACAAAACTCCCAAAACATTGAGATCATCTTCTTGTTACTGTGTTGGAATTAAGACTGAAGGCAAAACCTGCTCAAGATTAGTTTGTCTCCTTAGCTGGGCCCAGTCTCGTGTGTGTATGGAGAGCACATCTAGAGTGGCTGCAGACTGCCAGTAGATACAGGCTTAGCACAGTGGCATGTTTGTGCATGTTCTGATGAATCAAAAATTTAAGTTCTGTTATTTCTAGGATGGAAGAGCTAGAGTCAAAGTCCAGCTCTGCTTGATCTGTAGCTGAGACTTGAATTTTGTGGTTCAACATCTCATCATAAAGGCATAACCACTGTGGTAATAAATACACTGGTGAAAAGGTTTTTAACTCTCCTGCTGGACTTGTTCTAACATTTTTTAGTAATTTAATATAGAAATAGAGACTTTGGCCTTGGTAGCAACACGGCTGATTTAAGCGACTGAGCTGTAGAAGCAATCTCCTTTCTTCATTCTCTGCTCCAAGGAATATTTCTAAGGGGAACATCTGTCAGAGAAGTGAAGAAACCATGACTCGAGTAGCCAGCAGGTTGGTGAAGTGCTCAGGACAGAAATTAGCACTTTTCAAGTGCCTGCACTAAACCAAACATTTAAACCCAAGCCTGTTTGAAACATAGATGCTACCCATGGCCTTACTGGTTCTTCCATGGTAGAAAGTTGTGGATTTTTGTGTCTCCTGGATGGGGAACTCCCCACCTACCTGAGAAAATTGTCAATTTCTGCACTTCTCTCTTGCTCAGCTCTTTCTTCTCCACCTATTAGTTTCTGAAGGTCTCTATTCAGATAAAGATATTTTTCAGGCAGTGTGGCAACACACTTGAAAGTTAAGCAGGGCAATGCTGGCCAGATGCCCACATACACACCCTTGAGTCTCTAGGCTGCAACCCTTCTGCCTCAGGAAAATGGTAACCTATATGGATGAGGTTGTGTATTACCTTTATTTTGGAGGGGAGAAACTATAAAGCAAACCGCTTGCAGGAAGCTGGCTCACCTCAGCTCCGTAAGAACCTTGACCTAATGATTTGTCCAGATTACAAAGGCAAACTGGAACCTTGAAGTAGACCTTTAATGTCCTAACTTCTTTTGTCTTCCACCTGAGAATATCCCTCTTTGGCAGGCTGGAAATACAAGTGACAAGTCCATTTTCCTAATAGCACTGAGAAATATGATTCAGAGGAACTGTACCAGGCATTTTCTGTGATAACGCCTCTTTTTCTTTTTTTTTTCCTTTTCTTTCCAACGTTTCCTTTTCCCCAAAAACCTCAACCGAAGTCAATGTGAGCAGATGATGTGGATCATTAAAACTCAACAGTACCCTACATGCACTGTCTCATGCTTCAGGAACTGTATTTTTCCACTACTGTTTTGTATTTGATGGAGTCATTTAACACCTATGCTTAGCAGATGTCAAATTTTCAAACTCATGTTGAGGGCTAAAGGTTCATCAACAAATCAGGAGGAGAGCTGTATTTCACCATGTACTGCATTTAACACCTGAAAGCCAGGCTAAATGCTTTCCCTGTGATACTAGGTTCAGTATGTTCAGTTTTTGGTTTTCAGGCAGTAAAAACTGGGACAAAGACTCCCTGACACTTTCAATATGTCCATGACAGCACTAGAACCAGTGCTGTGTCTCCTATGGGCAACACATTCCCTACATCATGTTAGTTGGGGTGCCAGGTTCCATGTGCCTGGAGCTGTCCCAGACTCTTTCAAGGATGAGGTCAAAGATTTCTGTCCTTGTGCACTGCAGCTTTATTTTTGCATCATGGCCTCTTACTACTGAAAAGTAGAATACTATTATCTTGACTGAAGTATTTTGGGGGATTTTCTTCAACTAGAAATCTGACCTGTCAGAGTTACACAACTCTCAGAGTGTTTAGTAAAAGTGCTAGTGGCAGCATTATTAATTAAGATAGTAGATCATTTATAGCCAAACAGAAAGCTTTTATTTTGCTTCCTGGCTTTTAATTTTTTATCCATTATTTTTGTGTGATTACAAAGTTGGGGTTTCTTTCTGAAACAAAATGCAAAAAATCCACAAGCATTCATTCTTTTGTCTAGTTGGAGAAATTCCATCCTTAGCTTACATCAAGTGTCTTCATTTATATCCACAGTGAATTTAGCCCATTGTTCTTTGATAAAGGAAGCTACAATACACAAATTAGAAACATGGCCATGACTAACTTGATCTTGAAGAGATTAGATTTGACTAAACTTTGAAGGTTGGGATAGTAAAGTGAGAACTATATTTTTTTAATAATTATGGTCTTGAAAACCTAATCTTTTTAAAGAGATGCAAAATACATACAGTTTAACAATAGCTTGTAGTTGAATATCATAACTATCACAAGGGACTCCAGAATATATATGGTCTGGAATAAAATGATCTAATAGCAGCTGGATATGCATGTGATAATCCTTACTGAAGACAATACAGCTATTTAAGTGAAGAAATAGATTTTAGCCTGTTAGCTATTATACCAGAGAGCTAAATTCTTACCTAAGATATGCTTCCAATTTGATTTAATATGTGTGCTAGAATAAAATCTATTTAGTGTTTTTAGTGCTGTACAGGGAACACAAAAGCTTAGGAAAGAAGGTATCCCATCTCTAACTGTAGCCAGCAGTTATACTTCACATTTTTTCTTCTAAATTCTTTCCTTCCGCTATTTTGAAAAAATTTCTGCTGGCTGTTCTTATCAGTCCTTTCAATGTCTTATTCCATTTAGTAGCTCTCCCCTGAGCAAAGGAAAATTATCTTTTGTTTTTCTGATGATCAGTTCTTTTAAATTGATCTTTTAAGTCTCATTCATTTTGCACAATCTATCCACTGGAAAACTTGAAGGTTAACAGTCCTTCTCCTTATGGAAAGTATTTACAAATAAGGGAGCTGATGTCTTTCTTTCTGTGAGCTAGCAGAACTAAAAAGAAATCTCATCAATCTATGTGAGACCTGTGGCCAGAGTATCAGCACTGCAGTGTGAATTTCTGAGTTAAAACTGGCTTACCTACATGCAGCTCATGAGACTCTGCCAACAGACAACAGCACTGTCCCCTTGCCAAAACACAGGAGGCTCCTACATGAGATAATGCTGGCTCAGACATCTTTATTTGATATAGTGAGGTTTTACTGAGTTGCTATTTTCATCTATAAAAAGATACTCTTGCAGATCATTACATGTCTTTGTGACCTCTGAGTAAACTATTTCTCATTCAGGGCTTCATTTAACAGATATCAGTCATAAACTTATATTAAGCCTTGTAGGATTAAACTGGGGGTTAACATTAGGTTTTGACCTGTCTATGATATAAATTATGTCTACGTATGGATGGCACTCTGAAGCTGCATCCACAAGTTGAAAGGACAGGGAACTCTCATAGGCGATGCAGTACATCTACATCCAGCCTCCTGGTAGTTGATGACAATTTGGTGACAAGTCTGTCAAATGCTGGAGCTAGTTTTGAGAGGTCTGCACAGCGCTGTTTTTAAAAAGCTTTAATGTGTAGCCAGTCTCTTAAACTATTCCTCCTTAAGAGATCTTTGTTTCATATGGTGAAAGACTTGCCTTTGGCTTTTGACAATAAAAGAGGAAGAAAGGAGGTAGAAGAAAGGAAGAGAATCTCAGATGTGGATTAGCTTGACTTTTATCTTTTGGGATAGAATTGTGTAATTGTAATTGTTAGCTTCCCAGGTTTAAAACAGATTGAACACTGAATCCTCAGCTCTAATAGAGGTTTCCACACTGTTGCTGAGGATGGAGCCAGTGACCCTGGTAAAGGAGCCCCAAAACCACAGAGAGAATACTTCACGTTTTTTCCCCAAATATACAGGCCTGTTCAAGTGGTAAATCCATTCTGATAAACAGAGAATGGAGAGCATCCAGCTTATCCTGCTTTTCCTGATGTCTCTACTTGGTGCTGAAATGGTTAACAGTGTTAGCATTTACTCTAGCAGAGCCTGGTTTCAGATGAATAGGGTCAGTTTGTGCCTTCTCAGTGCCTGTTTCAGGCTGTCCTCATCCTGCACAAGGCAGCACTGTATGCCTTCAGATTCTGAAGGCTCCACCGCCTGCAGGTCTTGACTTTTTTAAACTTTTTTTTTTTTTTTTTGGCAAATGAAAGAAATAGAGTCATCATTAACTCTTTCAGGTTTGACAACTTTGCTTTGGATAAGTTCCTCCTCCTGAAGTACAACTGAAACATAAATCAGAATTTGCAAATATATCCATGACCAGCAACTACACTCAGAAGCAGCTACAGGGATTTGAACACTGCAAATCATATAAAGAAATGCAAAATTGTGGGTTTACACTGCATCTACCAGAAGGTAGTCAGCCAAGTGAAAACACACCCAAAATCTACCTCTTTCTGCTCTCAGTGCACCACTCCCCAACTATAGAATAATATGTTTTACTGTCAATCACAGTATTACTGCTTAAGAATTCTTAAAGTTTCCTATTCTTCCTTACTCTTTGTTTTCTTTTCCTCTGTTGTTTTCTTTCATTCTATTCTCCATCTCTGTTTTTCTTGTTGCCTGGAAAATTTTAACAGTTTGTGCTGTCCTCTATACACCTCACAGTGACCCCTGTTTAATCAGAGCTTGAGTTCAGTAAAAGGTAAGTTAGAGAAGCCAGTAAGCACTTCCAGCTCACTACATTACCATGTACATATGTGGTTTGAATAACTGAAAATAACTCAATATACAAACCAAAAGTTAAAACAGCCTGCCAGTAAACCAAAAGCTATCAGAGCCTGGAATCTGGTAAAATGAGCATTACTGGAGGGTTCTCTTCTCCTGTTCAGCAGCCAGCTGCAAAAGTCTGCCTTGGGATGGATCTGTCAAAAGCATGGATGGAACTAATCTTGAAGACAGTGAAAATTAAAATATGAAGTATTTTAAATGAAATATGCTGTGTTCAGCAGAGTAGCATTTGAAACACCAAGGTGTGTTTTATCAGAGCATACCTGACCTGATCTACATCCAAGCCACTGGCAGGCTGTCAAGCTTTGGCCCTGATGGAGGAGAAAAACTATTCTGTTGATTCCGACATCTAAACCAAGTATTAGTGTCAATATAAAAGTATTAAATGATGAGATTCCTTATGGGCAACAGTAATTTCATCTTGACACATTCATTACAACCACTAGCTCAGGAAGGACGTTATGAGGTAAGATTTATGATTGCTTCTAGAGAAACTTCTTTATTCAAATTAAGAAGAAAAATTAATTGAGGCAAGGTTTGGATTTTTTTGTATATGCTATCATATATATGCTAAATAATTTAATCTCTTATATAGGAAATAGGTATTATCTTTCTTTACATTAAAGCTAAATATTCAGTGACATAAAAATGTAAGGACAGAAAGACAATAAACTAGGCTAACTCTTGCATAATGAGCCCTCCCAGTTTAATTCAGTTAATCCATTGCAGAAGTCCTGGTTCAGTTTTGGATACCAGAAGCAGATCCAATTGTCAAGACATCAAGATGGAGACTCCTGCACTTCCATTTTCTTCTAGTGTTAGTTATGCTCATTAAGAGAACAGCAGTCCTATAACCTCAATAAACCTTTTTTAATTTTGAAAGTACACGTTCAAATAAATCTAGTTATTTAGATGGAGTTGACTCAGGTTACACTGGAATAACTGAACACAAGATTGGATCTCTTTCACACTCAATTTCTGAAGCTGAACAGTTTTCTAACCTGAGAATCCATAAACTCATTACTGGATATTTACATATGGGGTTTGATGACAATGCAAGATAATCTCCAGTAGTTCCTTCCTCAGCTGAAACTCTGTTAGTGTTTCCTCCTCCTCCCACATTTACCATGTGACTGTAATGTGATCTCAGGATGGCACATCATTGTCATTTAGTCAAGTATTCCTTCTGACTTTTAAGGTATCGACTAAAGATAGTCTCGATTTTTGTTTTTCTTCACCTATTTTCTGTGCACAATTTTTTTCTACTTGCAATGTTTATTTTTGAGATGAAGTTCAATAGTAACTTTTCATGAGCTTGCTATAGGAGATTGCTGAAAGGCAACATCTGGTAAATAGCAAACAAGATCTAGCTGTCAATAAGCAAGCTAATATAAATTCATCAGGGGCATTTACTCTTTTTAGAACATTACATAATCTCTAGTCTTCTCTCTTAAAGATAAAAATTACTACATTTTAGCTATAATTTATAATAATAGGGCTTAGAATCAGAGCCTGATCTCAGTTGGATGGGTATATGCTGTAGAGGTATTACTTCAAGATTGTTCTGATGTAAAAGAACCTTAATCTACTGAAGGATCGGCACCAAACGCCCTCTGCAGAGTGTCTAGGTGTCTGCAATCGCATCTCTACATCAAGACCAGTTCTCCTCACAGCATCTGACAAAGGCCTTGCTGCATCCACTGGCAGCACTGGGTGTTGCACTACACAGCTCTTCCAGCCAGCACAGGTTGGCAGCTCCTTCTGATGGCAGTGCTGCATGTAGGTACGGTAAAGAATTTCTGTCAAAACCAGAAATATTGTGTTTCTCTGGTGTGAATATGCTAAACACAGCAAGGGCATAAAACTAGACTGCGTTCAGTCTGCATCATCTGTTAGGGTTCTCTGCTTAGGACCAAGTCCATGGAGATTTATTTTTGGGGAAAGAAAGATAACACTTCAGACTGAACAAGCTGAGTAATTCTGCAGTTGCTATACTTTAGATAAGTTAGGGCCTTGGTGGAAATAGACACTCAATCCTCTTTGTCTTTGACTCCTCTAATCTCCTTAGACTGTATAAATACTGATTTATACAGGAGATCTCTGCAGAGAAGCAAGTGCCTTGTCATAATCACCAAGAGCAATCATAGTGAAAATGAATAAATTTTCCAAGGAGATCCCAGTTCTCAGAGGAGGAAAAAGTGGTGCAGCTGGTCAGGAGCAAGATCGGTGCAGTGGTTTTCAGTTGACCTTCATTTGCATCAGAAAACCACCATCTTCCTGAGCACAAAGGAACAGCAGGGCTGGCAGCCTGCTCAACCCCACAGCAATAGGCATGGTGCAGGTTGGGAATGGGGAGCACTGGCTGCGCTGGTGAGGGATGTTTCACACATTGCCTCCAACTCTGAAACACTTGGCTCTAGACAGTGCTGTTCGTCTCTCACTTTTAAGAGTGCTAAAAGGCTTTTTTTCTTCTCTGTGGGAGGTGACCAAACGCAAATTCAGCCTGTTTCTGCTGAAGCATCAGTATTTTGTGGTTGCCATTTGTTGTTCTCGTTGTTACAAAGAGCGATCTTTCTTTTAACCTAATCTAAATGATCACTTGGAGGCTGCAATACTATATGTCATTTCTAGGCTACTGTATCATGATCGCCTTAGGGAAATTCTACAGATGCATTGCCACAATCCATTTTTTCCTCATGATGAGCTACCAGGCTAGTTGCTTGGATTCATTTGCCACAGCTCTTTACCTCTTTGACCTCAAAGCTACAGAGTTATGGTACCAATGAAATACAAAGGAGGCTGCCTTTTAAATTACTGATTATAAGAATTATTTTCTAAAGTAAAAAGGGAGAGAAGATGGTATTCTTCCAGACAAATGGAACTACTTGGGTGATTATTTTGTCTTCACTTTTTAATAATTTTCTTCTTTCTTTCCTTTTTCTGTTAACCTGTAGACATAGATAAATGAGCAACAAAATATTAATGTGCTTATTAGTCTGGAATAATTTAAGACAGACTAATATCTCCCTGACAGAAAATTGTCAACTCAGGTCTGTCATGGCATCAGTCATTGCAAGCTATTACATTTCTGCAGAAGAGTTACTAGGTAGATACCTTATTTTATTTATTTCTGCAGTTCAAATATACCACATTTCCATTTTGACCACATTTGTTCCTATCTGGTTGTGCTTATTTATTTGAAGCTCTTTATAGGTGATACTGTCCCCAGCTAACGACTCAGCATGCAAGAGCTGATGCATATTAAATTATCATATGTCTAAAAACAAAAGGCAAGAAATCTAGGTCAAAGATATTGCCTTGGGCAGAGTCCATGCAGGTTCTTTTGCATCACTGAATATAACAACTCCTGTCTTTCTGTTTAAAAATGCTTATACCTCATTAGGCAGGTGTTTTTTATGCAAGTGGTGTATCACTTCATCCTATGTGTTGCAGAGAAAAACATAATATTACCCCACAATATCCATTAATCTAATGACTGATCTTTAAGATGTGGGTTTGTATTTGATGCTTGTCCCATTTTGAGGAAGACACTTACACCTAAACATGAGGTGACTGTTCTAAACAAACAAATAGGGGAATTTGAGGAGCTGCTCATATTTCTGCTGGAAATACAATGCAGCAGAGCGGGACTAGTCCTGGGGATTCCTGGAATGTGTGGGAGATAACTTCCTGACAAGCTGGTGAGTGAACTGACCAGAGAAGGTGCCCTGCTGGATCTCCTCTTTGTGAACAGTGAAGGGCTGGTGGATGATGTGGCGGTTAGAGGCCGGCTAGGGCACAGCGATCATGAAATTATAGAGTTCTCTATTCTTAGAGAGGCCAGGAGAGGGGGCAGCAGAACTGACATCCTGGACTTCCAAAGGGCTGACTTTGTCTTGTTTAGACAACTGCTTGAAAGGATCCCCTGGGAGACTCTCCTGAAGGGTAGAGGGGTCCAGGAAGGCTGGGCACTCTTTAACAAGGAAGTGTTAATGACACAGGATCGGGCTGTCCCCAGGTGCTGTAAGAGAAGCTGGCAGCAGAGAAGACCACCCTGGGTGAACAGGGAGCTTTGGCTGCAACTCAGGGAGAACAGGAGAGTTTACAGCTTTTGGAAGAAGGGGCAAGTGACTCACAGTGATTACAAAGATGCTGTGAGGCTATGCAGGGTGGAAATCAGGAGGTCTAAAGACCAGCTGGAAATTAGTCTGGCTTCATCAATCCAGGATAACAAGAAATGTTTCTATAAGTATGTCAGCAGCAAAAGAAAGATCAGGGAGAGCCTCCATCCCCTGCTAGATGAAGGAGGAAACATGGTAACAAGAGACGAGGAAAATGCTGAGGTGCTTAATGCCTTCTTTGCCTCAATCTTTAATAACAAGACCGGTTGTACTGAGGGAATCCAGCCTCCTCAGAGCTGGAAGACAGAGCCTGGGAGAACAACCTGCCACAATCCAGGAGGAGATAGTCAGTGACCTACTGCATCACACAGACACACACAAGTCTATGGGACCAGATGGGATACAACCAAGGGTGCTGAAGGAGCTGGCTGGGGTGCTCACCAAGCCGCTTTCCATCATTTACCAGCAGTCCTGGCTGACCAGGAAGATCATGACAGACTGGAAATTGGCCAATGTGACACCCATCTATTAGAAGGGTCAGAAGCATGATCTGGGAAATGACAGGCCTGTCAGCTTGACGTTGGTGCCTGGGAAGCTGAGGGAGCAGCTCATCCTGAGTGCCATCACACAACACATGTGGGACAACCAGATGATCAGGCCCAGTCAGCATGGGTTTATGAAAGGCAGGTCCTGCCTGACAAACCTGATCTCCTTCTACGACAGGGCGACCTGCTTATTGGATGAGGGAAAGGTTGTGGACAATGTCTACCTTGACTTCAGTAAGGTCTTTGACAACATTTCCCACAGCATTCTCCTGGTGAAACTGGCTGCTCGTGGCTTGGATGGGCACACGCTTTGCTGGGTAAAAATCTGTCTGGATGGCCGGGCCCAAAGAGTTGTGGTGAACGGAGTTAAATCCAGTTGGTGGCCGGTCACGAGTGGTGTCCCCCAGGGCTCGGTTTTGGGGCCACTCCTGTTTAACATCTTTATTGATGATCTAGACGAGGGGATCGAGTGCACCCTCAGTCAGTTTGCAGCTGACACCCAGTTGGGTGGGAGTGTTGATCTGCTCGAGGGTAGGGAGGCTCTGCAGAGAGACCTGGACAGGCTGGAGCCATGGGCTGAGGCCAACTGGGGGAGTTTCCATAAGGCCAAATGCCGGGGGCTGCCCTTGGGCCACAACAACCCTCAACAGCACTACAGGCTTGGGCAGGACTGGCTGGAGAGCTGCCAGTCAGAGAGGGACTTGGGGGTGTTGATTGACAGCCGGCGGAACAGGAGCCAGCAGTGTGCCCAGGTGGCCAAGAAGGCCAATGGCATCCTGGCTTGTGTCAGCAATAGCGTGGCCAGCAGGGACAGGGAAGGGATCTGACCCCTGGACTCGGCACTGGTGAGGCCGCCCCTCGATTCCTGTGTTCAGTTTTGGGCCCCTCACTACAAAAAGGACATTGAATGACTCGAGCGTGTCCAGAGAAGGGCAACGGAGCTGGTGCAGGGTCTGGAGCACAGGTCGTACGGGGAGCGGCTGAGGGAACTGGGGGTGTTTAGTCTGGAGAAGAGGAGGCTGAGGGGAGACCTCATCGCCCTCTACAGCTACCTGAAAGGAGGGTGCAGGGAGCTGGGGATGAGTCTCTTTAACCAAGTAACAAGTGACAGGACAAGAGGTAATGGCCTCAAGTTGCACCAGAGGTTTAGTCTGGATATTAGGCAGCATTTCTTCACAGAACGGGTTGTTAGGCGTTGGAATGGGCTGCCCAGGGAGGTGGTGGAGTCCCCATCCCTGGAGGTGTTTAAGAGTCGGGTTGACATAGC